TTTACACTATGCACTAATTAAATGAAGTTTATAATGGATACTCAATTTATAGTGTAAGACTAATTTTCTTAAATATCTAATGTATTATCTGTTTCCTAAATTATGAATCTAAGTAATATTGGTATAGTAAATCTTTTTTAGTTATTTGTCTATAACAATGAACAAAATGCACTGATTTGGGATGTACTTCTGTACATGCGTTGCTCTTATTGATTAATGAATAAAGCTACTTTGGCCTATGGCAGGGCAGAATAAAGCCAGACTGGAAGATATATATAGAGAGAGTAGGTGACATCAAGGAGACACCATGTATGTATGTGCTGAAGGAGAAAGAAGCCAGGTTTTAAACTTACCAGGAAGCCACAACCTTGTGGATGATACATAGATTTAAAGAAAGTTTATAGATGGCTATCCACTATATACCACAAGACACAATTTTCTTAAATATATATAACATACTGCGCTACACATCTCAGTAATATTTGTATATTAATTATGATAATAACTGATCTATATTAGTTATTTTTCTGTAGAATTAGTTAATTTTTATGTGTTTGGATGTTTTGCCTGCATGTAAGTCTGTGCACCATTTATGCGCTTGGTGCTCACAGAGGCCAAAAAGTGCAGCAGAGTCCCTGGAACTAAAGTTACAGATGACTGTGAGCCACCTTGATGATGCTGTGAATCAAGCCTACATCCTCTGGGGGAGCAGCCAATGCTCTTAACCATTGAGCCATTTTTTTCAGTTCCTACATTAATTAATATTTTATACTTGTAACAAAAATACCAGAAAGAACAATTTGATGAGTGATTCATTTTGGTTCAAACATTCAAAATATACACTTGTGGGGGGTGTTTAATTTTAATTTTCTAACCACAATAGGATGTGACATGCTAATTATTTCATTTGCATTTGCCCATGAGGGTCTACAAAATTCCACTTACAATATGACATGGTAATTGTATTTGCTAATTTCTCCTTTCAGATGTGATTAGTTTTAGGATTACAAGTTGTATAAGAACACACACACACATTATGCAACAATAGTTAATGAAAAAGAGCCCAGGGATTTGAAAATAAGCATGGCATATAATAAGCAAGTAAACAAAGAATACGAAGGGAGAAATGATGTAATTATATAAAAATCTCACAAAATTTTACATGAACTCACTATTCTTCCCACCAAATTGACTAATGCACTTGATACAAATGCCAGAGGTCCTGGGTTCCCATATAAATCAAGATAACCTTAGGAGGAGAATATAGAATTTGTTTCAGTTTATTCTTAAGAGATTCTAAAACCCATGATGCCTGACACTAAACAAGCCCCACTTCTGAAGACCCCACAAGTCTACTTATTTTCTGACTTTTCACACTTATCTTTATTCACTTGATGAAATACATACTTGAATCTACAAATTATTGTTTACAATTCTCATTTTCACTTCTTAACATTTTTATCTGAACAGTTAAATTAGAGCATGCTGGTATTACTGAGTGCCACACTGCATTGCATCCTTCCAAAGTATTGTTATCCTTGTCATTTGGGAGGCACAACTTCTAATCTGATTATGTGTCACCTTTGGCAGCCAATGTTTGCAAAAATATAAGGACTCCCTGAGCCACTCTGATGGATTCATACTCATCCTCTGATCTTTTGCCTTTGGGTCAATGACCTTGACACTCAGGTCTGTCTTTATGGTGGTGTTCTAGTTGAAAGAACTACTGTGGCTTAACTTTGCACAAGAGATATGTTTAAAATATATAGCTTTTTATTTGTTTTAATTAGTTTATAACATGATCCATTTCCCAATAAGACCTTTGTGCATATTTAATTTTAATAGATTCTTTAGTCACTCAATCTCTCTATCCCTCCTTTTCTGTTATATTCTATTATTCTAACCCCCCACATCCATACTCTTATATTACATTGTCTAGTTCCCCCTTTATTCTAGTCACAAAGGAAACCCCAATTTTTGAGAATTTTATATATGAGCACTATTTTATATCATTTCCTCCTCTTCTTCTCCCTACACCAACTCCTTCCTTGTACCCCAGCTCCCATTCAAATTCATGGTCTCCTTTATTTTAATTATATGTATAATTATGTGTATGTATGATATATTTCAAATTGTAAAAAATATAAATATATAATAAAATATATTATATGTTTATTTTATAACAATTATCATTATATGCACATTTATAAGTTGCTAAATTTATTTAGTGTTGATCATATGTATCTATTTCAGAAATGACTGGCATTGGGTAACTAATTAAGGAACTCATTTCTAGGTAAAACGTATTCTCACTTTATGTGCACTCATAATTACCTGTATGTTTTTATCCAGAGGTGGAATCTTGTGGGATTTCCCATCCATGTTGGCATGTGAAGTGGTGTTGCCACTATTCCAGTCTCATTTAGAAAATAATATCCTTGAAATTTCATGAGTAAACTTAAGTTAGACTCAATAGGAGAGAATACATGCCTGGTACTGTAAACTTAGCTTACTACCCATGACTGATGAGGACATTTACTTAGAAGAGAACTTATTTTTCCACCTTCCTAAGCCAATATAATTTAAAACTGAATTTTATATACTTATTCTGATGCCCACATATAAGAGTAGGTCTCACCCCTCATCAGCAAAGAAGTTCTTTTTATAGCAGATAGAAACCATTATAGAAGTCCGCAACTGGTTAAAATGCAGAGAACAACTAACTATAGTGTGCCCAACCCCAACTGATGCATTTACAAGGCTACAAACAAGACTCAGGGAACAACATCCAAGAAAGAGTAGAAATGCTGTAAACTCCAGAGGACATGGGTATCTGCTAAGGGGTCAGGCCGCCCACATATAAAAAGGAAGTGGTGCACAAATGCTCCCCCTAGCTTCCTGCATATTTCCTTTTTTGCTCCTATACTTATATTCATATAGAACAGTCAGATACCATGATGTGCATAGGAAAGAAAACATGCTATTTTTCCAGTTTCATACCTTTTGCTGAAAATTCCATATTTCAATTATTTTTTTCAAAGTTGAATAAAATTTAAGCAATAGAAAAATAAAACCATACTCTTGACTTACAGAGGGACATCCCACATGATATATATCACATTTTGTCTGGTTTTGTTTCAAGTTAATGATGTCTGTGTAAAAGGAATTTGGAAATATTTTTGAGTACTTATATTTTTATTGATTTTTAATGAGCTCTATATTTTTCTCTGTCTCTCCCCTTCCCCCTTCAACCCTCCTCCAAGGTCCTCATGCTCCTAATTTACTCAGGAGAACTAATTTTTTTCTACTTCCCATGTAGATTAGATCTATGTATGTCTCTCTTAGTGTCCTCATTGTTGTCTAAGTTCTCTGGGATTGTGATTTGTAGGTTGGTTTTCTTTGCTCTATGGTTAAAAACCACTTATGAGTGAGTACATCTGATAATTGTCTTTCTGTGTCTGGATTTTCTCACTCAAAATAATGTTTTCTAGCTCCATCCATTTGTCTGCAAAATTCAAGATGTCGTTATTTTTTCTGCTGTGTAGTACTGCATTGTGTAAATGTACCACAATTTCCCTTATCCATTCTTTGGGTGAGGGGCATTTAGGTTGTTTCTAGGTTCTGGCTATGACAAACAATATTGCTATGAACATAGTTGAGCACATGTCCTTGTGGCATGATTGAGCATCCTTTGTATATATACCCAAAAGTGGTATTACTGGGTCTTAAGGAAGGCTGTTTCCTAATTTTCTGAGAAATTGCCACACTGACATCCAAAAGGGCTGTATCATCCTGCATTCTCACCAGCAATGCAGGAGTGTTCCATTTACCCCACAACCTCTCCAGCATAAGAAATATTTTTACTTGATGGAGGGAAATCATGCCTCGTGCTGGAACCAGAACTGGTGAGGTCATGGATATTAGAAAAGAATATACTACTCACACTTTGCTTACCTAACAGTTTCTGAGCAACAATCTAAATTTTTATCCTTATACCCAAGAGAAATAAAGTTTTCACAACTCCTCTAAGAAATATGGCTTATACCAGATGGTGACCATTACAGAGAATTACAACAGAATAGAACACCATAAGCAAGAAACTGTGTGGTGCCAGCACAACCTGACACATTTATATACAAAATCAATACCTAAGTCTTGGGCATCATAGAAGAGGGGCTGAAAACATTTGAAGAGCCAGGGAAACAGGAAGTTTGCTGTGAGATTGTATCTACTAGAAATCTCAGAGAGGACACACTCTTAAAATTCCACCAACATGGCTTTGTAAACAATACTTGAACAAGGATGATATAAAGATGTGCCAACATGGAAGAGTTGACTCTCGTGAATACTGAACCATGGACAAAGAATGACAGACAACCAGTGACTGTTGAGATTTGGAGAAATATCTTTCCCCAGAGAAAGACCTCCCAATTAGTCATCAAATACAAACTGGTCAGAAATATAATCTTAAACATAAAAGTAATGCTGCCTAGAATAAACAGGATGTATTTATATATTTAGAAATGTGTGTATATGTGTGTGTAAGTGTGTGTGTTTGTGTGTGTGTGTGTGTGTAAAACAACAATTAAAGAAACAGACCATGAGTTAGGAAAAAAAAAACTAAGCATGAAAAGGCTTGGAGAAAGTAAATAGGAAGGAGAAATGATGTAATTATAATTAAATTTCAAAAATTAATAAAATTTAAATATGCTTGTTTCACCACAAAGCCCACATTTTTTTCATACCATTACATTAAATTAATTTGTATGTATTATACAAGGTATTATAAAGACCTCCTTGTTAAGTGTAACATCCTTTCATTACTAATTCTTCATAGTTTCTTCTCAGATTTTAGTATGTTCTCCTGCTGAGTGCTCTAAATTGGGATAGATTAGATATTTGAGAGTTAAGAAATAAATTGACAACAATCAAAACAGTGTCAAAACTCTATAATATCTATATGTTTATTGCCCTTAGATGGTAAGACTCTATTTCTGAAAATGCCGTATACTTCAGTCTTAAATCATGACTCAGAGGAATCAGCTCATAGTCATCAAGAAGGTTCATCTCTACTGGATAAATTACACAGTGTTGGAAGTAACCATAAATATTACCCAGGTGTGAATTCTGAGAGCTAGAACAACAACAAGCCTGATGCAATATTGTCATGAACATCATGGAAGAAACCAACCACTTAAAGACTGAATTGAAGGTCCAGTTCACAAGATGAGTCCAAGCCTGGTACTATATCAAAACCCAGAATATCTGACTAGAGAATACTTAGATCCTGGGGAAGAACATAACACTCTTATTCTGTTAAATATATGTAGTAGTAAATTTCTTCCTATACTCCTTTCTTCTTACCAAGAGATTAGTGTATCTCCCAACCCTCATAAGAGAAGCTTCTTTTTGTACATTATGGTGATTAACACACAGGATCACAATTGTTTCGGGTGCTGAAAATGAGAGTCTCTGGAATTCCCAGCTTAAAATGAGACATATATATCACACATCTTCCCAAGGCTCAGAGATCATCATGGAAAGAGAAGCAGAAACAGTGTAATAACCAAAGGTGGTAGAATGATTCCAAAGCAACAGATTTTGTCAAGACATAACAGGGCACTTACACGTGTGAATTCATTTGTTAGGACACTATGCACAAAAACTAAACCAAGCTAGATAAAAGTCTCAGCTGAGTTTAGTGGATCAGGAAGTTCCACTTACAAATGTAACACTGTTGGGCACTGAAAGATTCTGGGAAAGGAAGTGTCATGTTTCTTTAAGTAATCAGCCTCGTGGTGGTTTGTTTTTTTTTGTTTGTTTGTTTGTTTGTTTTGGAATAGATTACATTTAGAAGGAATAGTGGTGGGAAGAAATGAAAAAGAAATTGGAAAGGAGATAATGGGGCGTAGACTTGACTAAAGCTCATATGCAGACATAATACTCAAAGAAGCATTTTAAGTAATAAATGTTATTAATGTTTTTAAAAAGTACTGAGATGATTTTTGTTCAAGAAGTTAGTGAAGTCTGGATCCAATGAGACAGAGTCTTTATCTACTTTCTCACAAATCTAACTTCAAAATTTCTAGCACCTTTAACAAGAGACATGGTCAAATTTCATGGATCAGGAAACCTCAATGCCTCATAAAACAGGGTGTCTCTTTGGAAATATTTACAGGAAACTCTTAAAGATTTTTGTTAATTAGTAAAAGAAACAATTTCATAAATGATCTTGCTCCCACAGCTAGTGTTGTCATTGCCACTGGAGGTGAAGTGAAAATTGCAGTTCTGGAGGGAGGTGAGATCACAGAGTCACTGACCTCTTCATCAGGCTTGAACTGACTTTATTACAGCCAGGTTTATTAATAGTCAGGATCTTCCACATGATCCCCACATCCTTCAGACACTGGAATTTGTATGAGTACTTTGTATTTCAGCTGGAGTGGAAGAGCCAGGAAAGGAGAGAGTGTTGGGTAAGTGCTCATGTCTAGTAATGGGAATCTGGGGTAGAACAAAATCTGTGGAACACAGAAAGAAGGCACAAAAATAACTCCATTGCTGAGAGGTGAGTGAGAAAGACAGAAGTATTCCTAACCTTGTGGCAGTCCTCCACTGAGCCTGAATGTGGGTACATCAGGATAATGCAGGCCATGCGTGAAGATGCTGAAGAACTACTGTAATAAGTCAATGTGATGATTCACTTTACCCTCCATGATATGTTCACTATCTTTGAAGTATTATTATTGTTATTATTGGTGAAGTTATCATGGTTTTCTGCCCGTGGTAGACATTAAAATGGAAATATAAGAAGTGCATAAATCTGTGTAAGTGCAAGATGTGAATATGTCTGTGGAGTAAAAAGTATTTATATGTAACACTACATAAGTCATCTCTGAGTTTGTATTGAGTGGCCATCAGTATAATGATTGGTTTGAAGCATCTCCCTTTTGAACTAGGAATGGCAATATGGAAGGAAAGTTACTGTATGTCAGCAATGACAACCAGGATCCAATGTCCCAATGTTTTTAATATTCATTAAGCAGAATCTGATGCCAAGCCATTACTATTGTTTATTGTTGTTGCTAATGGAAAATGGGGTCTTGTGGCTGGCAGGCCAGGGCCCTAACACTCAGCTATGATTTTATTCATACTAGTACTATATCTCATTGCACAATATTTATAGTTTCAAATCATCTTGACTAATCTTTACTATCTCATATGAATCACCTTTATTTGAATGCATCAAATTCATCATTATACAAATTATGAAATATACCAGGGGTGGTAGTGCATTCCTTTGATTCTAGCAATTGAGAATCAGGGGTGGAAAGGTCTCTGAGTTTGAAGCCAATATGATATACATAGTGAGTTCCAGGACATCCAGAGTTACATAGTCACACCCTGGCTTTAAAATAACAACAACATCAAAATATTAGCAAATATATGCAAATTTTTAAAGTGGGCATTTTAATAACTTAGTTTTCTTATCACATTGTTATTTGTTAATCACATGTTAGTTTTTCATGTTGCATTTTGTCTAGGATAATACTATTAGTAATTCATCAGGTGTTACCATTTAATCTCTGCAATAATGACAATGCTTATTTCTGCTGCAATGATAAACCTTCCATCTCCTACTTGTGAAATCATACTGGGAGATGGGACAGCATTCTATCATGTCAAAACATACTTAGAATACTATATTTTATTAAAATCTCAAAAGCCTTCTTTACACTTGACACTTATCTATGAAATGAAAATTTATGGTGAAATAAAAATTTATCTTTAAAAATATTTATTTATGTATTTTTATTTTGTATATATGAATGCTTTGCCTTCATCTATATGTGTTCACTATGAGAATTAAGGGCCTGGAATGGTTATAAGAAGGAATTGGTATCACTGTAACTGGAGTTACAAGTGACTGTAGTCACCATGTGAGTACCAGGGACCAAACCCAGTTCCTCTGCAAGAACAGCAAGTGTTCTTTAACACTGAACTATCTTTCTGGTCCCTACAACTGAAAAGTTTTTATAGTCAAAAACATACAATAAAACATCAATGAAGTAAACAAAATGTCAAGTTGAGAACACAAATTGTACAGAAAGCTGGGGGGTTTTTGAGAATATTTACCATGGCTTTCTGGGCACAGAGCAAGGTAGCTGTGTTTGTAGCATAATAGCCATGTTCAAGACTTTCCAATATCCACTCTAACATAAACAGTTTTTAGTCTTAAAGACTCAAGAACACCTTGTTTTTCTAAGGCCAGGCCTTGACAGTGTGAATAAAGCTACTGAACATATCAAACAGTTATAAAACACAAAGGTTTCAAACTGACAGAGTAGCAGTGACTCAGAAATTAGTATAGCTTTTGAACATTTATAAAATTAATTAATTTTTTAAAAGTTGCATTTTGCATTTCTTATAATGCTCAGAATGCAAGAAAAGAAAATAAGAACCATAAAGTTCAAGCTGCAATTCATAAAAAGGGAAGGATCTAAGATTGAGTATGGATGTGGGGTCTTTATCTTTGCCCAGTTCAAAGTGCCATGAAATTAGGACATATTACCGAAACTGCTTGTACTGGGGAGTCTTCAGAGCAAGGAAGAAGGAAAGGAAAGTGTTTCTCATAACCTAGTTCATTAGGTCACTGAAAATGGGTCTTACATGATCAGTGCTAGAACTCTGGAATCAGAAGAATTGAGGAATGCAACTGACTATCTCTCTTTGAAACAAAGGTTGCACATATAGATGCATATACAGTAAAGAAATCCCTGATTGACTGTGGTGAGTAGGGACATTTTGTTATTTCTGGCTGATATTTTAGTGAACACAAGGAATTAAAAGTTAACGGAAGGTGATCAGGCATGACTGCAGAACTGGACACAGGAAAGGCAACTTTTGCTGTCAAGTTCACTGAGTGAAATAGGACTGGGTTCACTGTTGAGTTAAGAAATGAATCAAAATAGTGGAACCTCAGCATTAGTATCGGTCTTTAGTTCTGTGCTGATCCTTAACATGAGACATGATCAGGTAAGAAAAGCTGTAGAATTTCATGATATAGATTTATATACATGTAATAGAAATAAGCAGTTTTAAAGTCTTTTGTTTGCCATTTTGCATTTAGCTCTTAATAAAATAAAACAAACTGAATATTTACTATTGAGGAGAAAGGATTTCAGTTGATGTGGCTAGGGTGATCACACTGTACCTTTATGTTCAGAATCCTATGACTGTAAAGACAAACATCCATTTGCAGATTGGACAGAATGATCTCACAGACCTGAACACAGAAGTGGTCTCACAGTCATGAATGCTGGTCAGTTTCTTATCATTAATATTGCTACTCACCTTACTAAACTGAATGAAGTTGGATAATCAAATACTCAATTACCAAGCATGTGGAACAGACACATATTAGTCAGTGTCACTGAAGGGGTCTTAAAATCCATAACAGTTCTTAGGATGAAGCATCTTGTTCTTAATTGAGAGGATTTTTTTCATTCCCACAGGTACCGTGGGAGAGATCCACTGGCACTATCTTCCTGGGAATGAGACCAGCCTCTCAGTAAGCACAACAAATTTGGATAGTTAGAATTTTTAAAACCTTCCAATGAGCTGAGTGTGGTTGTACTTGCCTTTAGTTCCGGTACTAAGGAGGCAGAGGAAGGCAGATATATGTATTCATGGCTGCCCTTGGGCTACATAGCAAGTGCCAGAACTACAATGAGAGAACCTGCCTCAAAAAAAAGAAAGAAAGAAAAGAAAAGAAATAAACAAGCAACAAAATTTCCTGAAGATATTGAGTTTTTACTTGTCCTCTTCCGGACAGGTTATATCCTAAGTGTTAGCATAGTTCCTATGTATGTGATCATTAGAAGAAGCATCAAAAGCATAAATAAAGAACACTTTTCTAAGAGTGTTCTGAAATTATTTCAGTGAACTCAAACCTCAGTCATCAGCTTTCACAAATATTGGGGGATTTTTTTTGAGGGGGTCATGGTCAAGGTCTGTGATTCTAATGGTTTCATGTAGAGACACCAGCTCCTTGTACATACATGTAAGAACAGCTTAATCCAACTCTTTATTTCATTTTATTTTTAGCTTTATGAGACAGGGTATCTCTGTAGCTGTAGGATATATATCCATATATCCAGAAGCCATGAATATAAGAGATGTGGAAGGGGTTGAAGGGGAAAAAAGAGACATCGCTGCAATTATATTTTAATTTCAAAAATTAAATTAATGGAACTACACCATATAAAAATGCTTTGTTTAATAAAAATCAAATGTATATAGTAGCATGTGCTTCTCCTCAAAATAAATGCTGAATAGAATGTAGGAAAATTGTTTTAAAAGACTGTGATAACTGGTGTATAGGTGTATGTTTTTTCCACCTAAGCAGATGTGACCCGTTTCCCAAATTTGTAATAATATTTCCAGGTATTGCAAAGCCATGAGATCCCTTATTCATTCACAAGCATGCCAAAATTTGGTAATTTCAAGCTTTTCCTCCATATTTGTTTGTTTGTTTCTGTATTTTATCAGTTTACAAATTAGCACATTTTCTCAATGCAATTTCATACTCAGTGCTTTAACTTACCCGACCTCTCCACCTCTTACATTTCTGCTCCCTCATCCATGCTAATACTATCCCATTATTCCTTAATTCACCATCTAAATACATGCATTGTATCACCCTCTCCATCCAAACCTCTGAGCCTCTTACAGGCCCCTTCAAGATTCCTGGACTCTGAACACACTCCAATATAAACACACATTTCTACAGTATTAGAAACTATGAGATTGCGTTTGGAACAGTGCAATCTATCTTCACGAACAGTGAGTCAATCACTTAATAAGGCAGTTTCTATTTTCTGCTGAAGCCATTCCCTAGGGTGTCCTACAGTGTTCTACAATTCATGGAGAAGGGGAGATTGTAATTATCTAGTAGTTCCTAAGGTCTCAACTCATCTCCCTGTTCTGTTTCAACATTTTCAGATCCTAGGCTTCACTGCCATTCCTGCCCCCATTCTTGATTTGACAGGTGACTGTCCCTTAGTTCTTGATTGTCAGCAGACCAGTGTGAGTAGCAACATTGCCTTCCCTGGGGCTGCATGGTTCAGGCTGGTGCTGAATCACAGCTACTTCTGTCTCCTTCTAAAAGGGGCTCTCACCCAAGTTAAGAATGGTTTTCACACACCTATTCTCACAGGAATGGGTATACTATCCTGAGAGTTTTCTCCCACAGTACCTCACTGATAGGATGTCTAGCACGTGCCATTTTTCCCACCATTTTTACTATAACAACTGGTGCATAATTATCTAAGACACAGTTTCAACAGAAACACTGAGTGTTTCCACAGTGGCTATTCCTTCATAGATATTGTTCTTTCCCTTTACATTTCTACTGGCATATTTTGCCTATTTTTATTTTAAAGTGTAGTCTCTCTGGGCCCCCCTCTCTAATGACCCTCACCCAAGGGTGTACATATGCATGAGGGTATATGTGCTGTCACTTTTCATGAGATCAATGTCTTAGCTTAATATGATGTAGGTTATCATTTGAACCAACATTTGAATATGTTTTACATTCTTAATCAATTTTTCTTACCCAAGAAATTAGTGGGGTAGTGACCAAAACACCTTCAGCACCATCAAAGTCTGAATTTTGAGTCTATATGAAGCGACTTCCTGAAGAGAATCACTTCTCATCCAGCAGCCTGGAATGCATTTTGCATGGAGCTTTTAAAGGCAAAGCTCTAACCCTGGAAAAACTCTAACCCTGATTATCATTTGGCAGGGGAAAGTAAAGCAAAGAAGCAGTTTAATAGAAGCCAAAACCATGTAGTTGGCTCGGACATTTGGACCCCTAGCTTCTACAGTGGGATTTAGTACTTTCTCACAGGACTTTTGAAGAAAAGCATTTAAAAAGGAGAATGTTCAGCTTCAAGTAAAACCAAAGATGGCTCCAGCTGAAAAAGATGGACGAATCTTTGCTCTGTCACAAGACCATAGACATAGTTGAAATGGTGTTATAAATTTCTCGTTACTTATATGTAAATTTTAGAGAAGACACACATTAAGAATTCATATATTTAAGGTTCTTGCTCTTTAGTGAAGCTTTCTTCATTTCCACCATTTATAGAAAATATCACTGGTTTCTGGAATTGTGTTTGTGTTGTTAGGTTGTCACTTTTCATTCTTTCCCACAGGCCAACATCACATCCCCCTGAGAGCTGCAATATGTGCATTCTGAGGTATTCAGCAATCTCACAGTAACATAAATAGAAAGTAACTACTTTTGTCAGACTTTTGGGGATGAGATCTTTTCATGTGATCTAGGCTAGCCTTGAACTCCTGGGCTTACAGGATTCTATGCTTCAACCTCTCAGTAGCTCCAGAGATTAAAAGTGTGCTCCTCCACTTCAAGATACAATCATTTACTTTTGTTCATTTTGATCAGAGAAATTGCATGGTTATAGTCTAAAGTATATTGTGCTAATCACAAACTGGACTTCTAGAATATGGCCATCAGAATCATTTTCTTATCACAAACTACAACTGGAATTCTGGGAAATGTCTCTATTATGTTCTACTCTCTAACCCTATACTACAAAGAATGCACATTAAAGCCCACAGATTTGATTCTCATGAACCTAATGGCAACCAATGCTTTGATTATGCTCTCTGAAGGAGTGCCTAACACAATGGCAGCTTTTGGGTTAAAGCAGTTTTTGAATGATTTTGAATGCAGACTCCTAAAATACATTCATAGACTTAGCAGGAGTGTGTCCATTGGAACCATCTGCCTGTTGAGCGTCTTCCAGGTCCTTTCCATTGGTCCCAGGAAATCCTATTGGAAGAATCACAAGGTCAAATTTTCAAAATACATTGGCTGCTCCATTGCCCTCCTCTGGGCCTTGCACATGTCAATAAGTTTCATTTTCTTTGTGGATAGATATATCAAAAATAATAGCAAAAATGTAACAAGAAAATGGGATTTTGGGTACTGCTCCATTGTAGGGCGCAGTGAAATCAGTAACTCACTCTATGTAGTATTGGTGGTGTGTTCTGAAGTCTTCTTTTCTGTGGTGATAGCCTGGTCCAGTAGTTCCATGATTGCCATTTTGTACAGACACAAGCAGAGGGTTCAACACATCCGCAGCTCTCATGGTTCAAGTAGAAACTCCCCTGAGTCCAGAGTCATCCAGAACATCCTGGTCCTGGTGTCTACCTTTCTGGCTTTTTATTCTCTCTCTTCTATCTTAAGAGGCTGCATTGCTCTTCTGGATAATCACAGCTGGTGGCTGATGAACATCACTTGTGTCATTTCTCTGTGTTTTCCATGTTTTGGACCATGTTTTGTTATCAGTCATTACTCCATTGTGCCCAAGCTTAATTTGGCCTGGATAAAAATTAAATCTCTCATTTTGTTTTAAGTATGCCAACAATAGTTTTTGTGTGATAGCCAGTTGTTTACCAATCACTCTCAAAAGTTCAATAAAGAAACTTGCGGAGGTAACAACATGTCTTTCAAAGATTAACCACAATGAGTATTGCAGTTCTTTCAGCTGGTTGACTTATCAGCTTACATGGGCTGGATTATATTGTGAGTCTTCAATTTACAGCATCTCCTTCTGACCCTGATGATGTACAAAGAAACTAGTACACACATTGCCAATAAAACTTCCATTTTTGTGGCTTAATTCAACTTTTTCTAGCTCTATTAATTTACCTGTACATTTCATTATTTGATTTTTTTAATGGGTTAGTTATGATCCATTTTGAAAATGTACCACATTTTTTATCCATTTCATGTTGAGGGACATCTAAATTGTTTCCAGTTTCTGGATTTTATGAATAGGACAGTAATAACATGGTTGAACAAGTGTCACTGGCTACCTGGGCAGTCACCCAAAGTCTCATTTGCAACGTTGAAGCAACCAAATTTGGCTAAGGCCTATAGTAACTGACAGACAATTTTCAAAGGCAGGAAGTTTTTTAAAAACTGCCTTACCCTGTCTTGACAAGATTTGACAGTCTTTTTTTTTCCTTGTCCTGTCCAGACATCATGCATTTTGTCAGTGATCAATGCATGGGCAGTTCCTTGCCCAAAGATCAGTTTTGCCAAGAAGAAAATAAGTTTCAAGTGGAGTGTCTTCGGTGCTCAACATCCTCTTGGGAATAGATTAGTACTGCCAGGAGCAAACATGTCTTACTTCAACAGAACGCTAAGTTATTTAAATGCTATTTTCTACAGCTCTTTGAAGTAGTTGAAGATTACCTATCTGTGCAGAATACAATCTCTATGTATCTAAAGAACCTGATTAGTCTAACTATAAGTACCAGAAACATGGGTTACTATTTACCTATGAATCTTAATATCAATATAACTTAAAGACTAAGACTTCATATTAGAATATTAAGCAATCTTTAAATAACTGTTCAACATAAGAAGACAATGATCTCAAAATGTAAACAATGTATAAGTATCTTGATTAGAGGCAGAAATGTATATTGCAAAATGATAAATATATCCTAAAATTGTATCAATATACAAAATGTCTCAAGCAGAGGTAGAAACATACATGCATACAATATGACAAAATAACTTTGTCTAGATGTACAAATATTATAGATTAAAATAGGAGCATATTCAATATAATTTAAGCTCGAATCAGTATACAAGGATCTATACCATTGCAAATTGCCTAAAAATAATAGTTCACAATTATTCACTCTATTACTCACTATTAATATTGGTGTGAACTTATTGACACTAATCTGTTATCCCATCCAATTTGCCTTTTTTCAAAGAGATCTCTGATCCTACATAATTTTTCCCCAACCTCCAACATTATACCAATTATAATCAAACCCTAAATGATGTCCCTAACCCTGAGGACAAACTTTGCTGGGAGAAGGTACATTGTCTTCTAGAATTACTTCCAGCTGTCATGGGGTGATGTCATTTCTATGAGATCCTGTGAAAGTAAAATGATTGTTAAGTTTCAAGATTACTGTCTGGGTATAGTTGCAAATGCTCTCTAAGTATTCAGTAGGGTTTTTCTGAGTTTCCTATTTAGAGTTCTGACCAGAATGTTGTAAAAAAAAAAGTGTACCAATTTCAGCTAATCAAATTGGAACCATCTTGAGCAACTGGTACCCAAAACAGGTCTTATAGAAGCACTTTCAGCATCATGATGTCATATCAACCAGGTAGAGTTGTTGTGTGGCCTCATCTTCTTCCTGGAAATTTCAAAGATTACTACAGGAAAATTCATTTTCATTGTGGAAAACTTAAATATTATTTATATAGACATATATATTCAAGGAAAAGTACAATAGAAATAAAAATAGGTATGAAAGGTATAAAGAAAAATAATTTTTTTCTAAATTCTTTCTTATTTTCTGTTATATACCAGATGGCTCTTGACATGACACAGAATCTATGATTTTTTGTTTAAACAACATGCTTAGATTTAGAGAACAAAGACGCTGTAGAACTCCAAAGCCAGCACTCTCTCTCTCTGTCTCTCTGTCTCTCTTCTCTCTCTCTCTCTCTCTCTCTCTCTATATATATATATATATATATGTTATATCATATATATGATAGATATAGATATAAATAGATATGTGTGTATGTATATATGTATGTATGTATATGTTTTGATCACCTGTCTTTACAAGTCTTATATTCCTTTTTCTTGATGATCTTTATTGGATAGTTACTTTTTCTTCTGTTAACATCCAAATATCCAGGGGGTCTTGAATTTTTGAAGATGTGTATTTTCCTGTAAAGACAAGAACAGAACCTGGCCCCAACCCTGTAAGATTTCCTAACCACCTGTATGGTTGTCACCATTTTGGATGAGCTGTAATTTCTCTTTCTCAAGAGATTTCTCTTTCTCAAAACAAATCTTTATTAGTTTTGATGGTTTCCATAGTTTTTCTTCTTTTGTGGAAACAAGAGCCAAACCCCTTCCCCAAGCACATCTCCTGGCTTCCATTGTGAGGTCAACACATCCTTGAAATATACCAGCTGATTTAATTCAGAAGACTGTTCTAATATCCAATATCTCTCTGCTGCTTTTATTCCTTTCTAATTAGCATTAAAAATTCAAGGTTTATTAATAAAGCATTATGTAATCTATTTTGGGAAGTATTTTTCATTTTTTTCTGTTTGTTTAACATATGCTTTATAGTTCAATTTGATCTTTCTACAACTGACTGACCTATAGGATTGTGTGGTATTCCCATAATATGCTTTGTATTATAATAAGCAAAAAAAACTGTTTCATTTTCTTAGAGACATATGCTGGACCATTATCTGTCTTTATTTGTGCAGGTATACTTATGATGGCCATAACTTCTAATAAATGTGTGATTACTGAATCAGCCTTTCTTGAGCTTAAAGCAGCTGCCCATGAAAACCTGAATAGGTATTAATGGTATGGTGTACATATTTAATTTTCCAAATTCTGCAAAACTCATCACATTGACCTGCCAGATTTCATTCGTTTGAGTATCCTTTGGCTTAGTCCTTGCAGGTAGTGGTGTTTGGTTATAGGAAGAGCAAGTAGGACATCACTTTATAATCTCCTTAGCTTGTTGCCATGTAATATAAAACTCTTTCTTTAAACATTTGCTATTGACATAATGTTTCTTATGGAATTCTGAGGCCATCAATGCACTTTCTATCAGTAATCAATCAATTTCTGCGTTACCTTTTGCTAGAGTACCTGGCAGATCTGTATGGGATTGGATGTGTGTTATGTATATGGAACAAAGCCTATTCCTGATTATATCTCGAATCTGTATGAATAATGAAGTCAATTCTGTATTATCTGATATAAATTCAGCAGTTTCTATATGTAAAACAAATCTTTCTGCATATTGTGAATCAGTAACTATATTAAAAGGTTCTTTAAAATCCCTTAGCACCATGAGACTAGCTTATAATTCTGCCTTTTGGACAGAATTATAAGGGCTTTGTTCAACCCTACTTTATTCTTCTGATTTGTAACCTGCCTTTCCTGATTTATTTGCATCAGTATAAAATGTATGGGCTCTAGTTCTTGGGGCATCATGTACAACTCGGGGAGGAATACAAGATTCTCTTTATAAGGTTAATTATATCACTTTTGGGATAATTGCTATTAATTTCTCACAAAATATTAGCACAAGCTCTTTGCCATGGTTCATTGTCTTCCCATAACTTTTTTTATTTCATCAGTAGTAAAAGACACTATAATCTCTGCTGGGTCTATACATGTTAATTGATAAGTCTCAATTTACCTTTTATAATTAATTCAGAGATGTTTTCCACATAAGTTTTTAATTTCTTACTTGGTCTATGTGGTAAAAAGATCCTTTCAAAGATAATGTCATATCTCTGCATTAAAATTCCTGTAGGAAGAATTCTGGAAGGCAATATGACTAGAATATAATTAAGATTTAGATTCACCCTATCCACATGTGCCTAGAATACAATTAAGATTTAGATTCACCCTATCCACATGTGCTTTCTGAAATTTCTCCTCAACAATTGTCAATTCTTTTTCTGCTTCAGCTGTTAATTCTCTGGGACTATTCAAGTTTTATCACTATCTAAGGTTTTGTTTAAATAGATTATTAGATCAGGTGTTATCCCAACAGCTGGTCATAGACTGAAAATGTCTCTTAACAATCTTTGAAAGTCATTAAGAGTATGAAACTGGTCTTTCCTAATTGTGCCTCTTGTTTTCTAATTTTCTGTAAACCTAATTTAAAAACTAGGTAATTGGCAGACTCCCCTCTCTGTATTTTTTTCAGGAGCAATTTGTAATCTCCATTTTGGCCAAATCTACTTCATTCGTTGTAGCAAAACCTACTTAAAACGTTCTTTTAAAGTATCTATGTTTGAATCAGATAGCAAAATGTCATCCAGGTATTGGTAAACTATAGATTTAGAAACTTTTTACATATTATTTCCAATGGCTGGCTTACAATGTATTTGTGTAGGGTAGGGATATTGAGCATTCCCTATAGAAGGGCAGTCCACTGGTATCTCCTAGTAGGCTGAGAATTATTTTAAGTAGGCCCTGTGAGGGCAAATTTTTCTCTGTCCTTTTCTTGTAAAGGTATAGTGAAGAAACAATCTTTTAAATCAATAACTATAAGAGGCCATCCCTTTGGTAATAGATATGTCAGAGGAATTCCAGATTGTAGAGGGACCATATGTTGAATTACCATATTAGATGGCACTTGGATCTGTCACCATTTTCCATTTAGCAGATTTTGGTTTCCAACAAATACAATTCCAAAGATTGGTTGATTCTTCAATGTGATGATCATCTAGTTGCTCCTGTATTAGCTGTTCTGAAGCCTGTGGTTTGTCTTCTGTTAATGGCCACTGTTTAACTCAGATTGGTTTCTCAGTTAACCATTTTGTTGGTAGTGCTGTTGGTATAGGTTTTTTAGTTGCTTTGTGTTCTTGTACAGCTTGAATGACTGGTGACCTTTGTATATAGTCCCTTATAATATTCTTCCCAGACTTATGAGTTTCTGGGACTGCAGGAATGTTAATCTGCGTATTCCATTGCTGCAGCAGGTCATGACCC